TATAGTTACTAGTTGCTCTGTATATTAAAGTTACTAGTTATAGTTACTAGTTACTCTGCACCATTAAAGTTACTAGTTATAGTTACTGGTTACTCTGCACCATTAAAGTTCGTAGTTATAGTTACTAGTTGCTCTGTATATTAAAGTTACTAGTTATAGTTACTAGTTACTCTGCACCATTAAAGTTACTAGTTATAGTTACTAGTTACTCTGCACCATTAAAGTTACTAGTTATAGTTACTAGTTGCTCTGCATATTAAAGTTACTAGTTATAGTTACTGGTTACTCTGCACCATTAAAGTTACTAGTTATAGTTACTGGTTACTCTGCACCATTAAAGTTACTAGTTACTAGGTAAAACACCTTAGCAGTTAAATGTTGTTATAAATGTGGATCAGTAATAAATATTAATAATGTGAAAAAGAGACTTTTTGCTCCAGTTAATATTAACCTAGTTTTAATTAGGGGTGAGTATCGCCACGGGTGCTGCGATTCGATACGTATCGCGATTTATTATCATAATATTGAAATATCACCATATATTGGGACATTTTTCCCAGCTATGAAAATCGAATCAATAGATAAAGAAGTCAGTGCTGTAAATGGTCATCAGAAGAAATTGATCATTTAGTTATTTTGGTAGCCATGTTGTTTGGGGTTTGAGTCGGTCACCGTCTTCCACTCTGACCGCCTCAGCTGCTGCACAGCTAAAGGGCTCCACGGCGCCATCTACCAGAGTGGAGGTGCAGAGGGAGCTCATTTTCCCTCATTGTTTTCAGTGATGGGAGTAACGCCGTTAAAAGGAACGCTATCTGACGGGGTTTATAGGCACATCAGATAGCGTTCCCCCTGCTTAGCATGGGGGGAACGCGGCCAGAAGGTGGGGGCTGGGTGGTGAGGGTTACGGTGGCGCGAAACGCAAAAGTAACGCAATAGTTACTTTTACTAGTAACTAGTTACTTTCATTGTGGAGTAACTAGTTACTTTCATTGTGGAGTAACTCAGTTAGTAACTCAGTTACTTTTTGGGTGAAGTAACTAGTAACTATAACTGATTACTTTTCCAAAGTAACGTTCCCAACACTGGTTGTTTAAGGTAACGTAAATAGTAATGTAACTGTAGGTAATGTAACATTTCCTGCTTATTTCCATGTAAAGACTTCCAAACACTTTTCATTGAATGTGTTAATTAGAATGAATTAGTAAATATAGATCCATTAAAAGTAGATTCAATTCCTCTTAGCAAATAGATTTAATGGAACAACTGTTTCCCAGCTGAAAGGAAAATGTTCTTGGATTTTAGGAGTTCCTGCTTTTTTCCCTGGCGGTGGAGCAGTCTGTAGCTCTGCTGCCTTGCGGGAAGAAGGTTCTGGGTTCGATTCCCAGCCTGGTGCAGTGTTGCATGGTGGGTTCGGGTTCCTCCCTCAGCAGCTTCCAGACAATGTAAACGTTTATTTATATATTTAGTTTTTAAAACATGTTGACCTGCCGTCCTCCAGACGATGGCGCCGCCTCTCTGAGCAGATGATCACCTGCAGCCCTGATTTACTGACGCTCAGCTGCTGCCGTCTGATCCTGTTTGGAGAACGTTCTGACCTCCATCCATCAGGGTCACGGGGGGGTCACTGCATGTCTCCAGCAGGGTGAGAGGTGGAGTCCTCCCTGGACAGGTTGCCAGGGCAACACAGAGACACACAACCATGACCCCTGACCTAAGGAGAACCCAGAGAAGAAAGGAACCGTTTTAGATCCTGAAGCTGAACTCAGTTCTTCACTAAACCTTCCATCTTCTGCTGGTTTTCAGGAACAGAAACGTTCTGCTGCTTCAGACCTGAAGGTTTACTCTCCATCAGGGTCTCCATGTTGCTTTCTCCTGGTACTCCTTTACTGTCCCTGAGGATCGCTTTCTTTCAGCCTCACTGCTTGGATTCATGCGTCTCTGTTCCTTCAATAGATGACAGATCTGTCCACTCAGCCCACTGTCCTCAACCCACTGTCCACTCAGCCCACTGTCCACTCAGCCCACTGTCCACCCAGCCCACTGTCCTCAACCCACTGTCCACCCAGCCCACTGTCCACTGTCCACTGACCCACTCTACTGTATATCCAGGACTGACAGGACAAAGTCCCTCCCACTTTAAACTCTGAGCAGCCCCCCCCCCCATAAATAGGCAGTGACTGACTGAGACCTGCAGTCTGATCTCTGAGGAGAGGGAGGAACAGCCCCCCCCCTCCTCTGGGACACCATGCAGACCACCGTCCCTCCAGCCTGGACCGACCCCCACCTGTTCCTGACTCCCACCCTGACCTCCGGGAGATCAGGACTCTCCTGTGGCTTCCGTGGGTCTCCTGGAATCCACGCAGCGGGGGAGGAGCCCAGAGTGGAGCTGGAGGCTGCTGAGCTGTGGAGGCAGTTCCACGGACACGTCACGGAGATGGTCATCACTAAAGCCGGGAGGTAAATCCACGCTGCAGCTTCACGCATTAAATGAGTCCACGCGGTGAAGCTGCTCTCCTGCCCACGCAGGCGCATGTTCCCGCCGCTCAGAGCCAGGTGCGTGGGCATGGACAGGGCGGCCAGGTACCTCCTGCTGGTGGACGTGGTGGCGGCGGACGGCTGCAGGTACAAGTTCAGCAAGCAGCGGTGGACGGTGGCCGGGAGGGCGGAGCCAGAGCCGCGCAGGCGGCTGTACGTCCACCCGGACAGCCCGGCCACGGGGGAGCAGTGGATGGCCAAGGCGGTCCACTTCAACAGACTCAAGCTGACCAACAACCTGTCTGACCCACGCGGACAGGTGAGTGGTGCGTTCAGGTTCCGCTCCGGCAGCAGAGCTTCAGGTGTTTCCATCAGACCTCAGGGAGAATAAATCAGAAATAATCTTTAAAGTTTCTGCTTTTTTCCTCTGAACTTTGACCTCTGCTTTGCTGAACTTTTCCATCTAGTTTGGAATAAAATGAGCTCAAATTTTTATTACACCTTATAAATTAATATCTTTTTATTCAAATACTCAGATTTATATTTTTAATTTGACATTACAACGGCAATAACTGATGCAATATATAATATGTCAAATTTACTCCTTGACACCCAATGAAATAACTGTATATATTTTAAAAAAGATAATAATAAAGTAACTTTATTGATCTTCCATTGGAGAAATTAACTCTGCATTTAACCCCTCCCCTTGAGGAGCAGTGTGGGGTAACTATCAGTAAGCAGAGACTGCAGTTGCTTAGGGGCCCCCGACCTCTTAGGGGCCCCGTCACTGACACCTGGTGGCCCCCTATAAAATTGTGAACTATGGCGTCTCTTTCCAGATGTAATGGTGTTAAAAATTTAATCTTATGGGTGTTGTACTCCATATGGGGCCCAGCCAGATGATGGTGCTTACGAGCCTATAGTTGAGTCGTTACGGAATTAGTGTGGAGTTAAGGGTCTTGCTCAGGGACCCAGAGTGGCAGTCTGTGGAACCGTCTATAACGATCCTACTATAAATAAAAAACGCTGTCATATGTGGACGCGCTGTAAATACCGTATATATCCCATCATGCACCTCTTCTTTCTTTGGCTCCTTTTTTCTTCTTTGACTATTTGAGCTGGTGGAATGAGTCCATTTCTCCTGTGAGATCAATAAAATCAACCAATCAATCAAATGCAGATGTTGATCAGATCAGCAGGTTGATCTTCTTTTGGGCGCCGCTGATGTTTGACGGCGGCAGACTTCCTGGAGCGTTTTCTCAGGTTTGAGGAGCAGCTGTGATCGTCTCTCAGGCCTTCGCCCAGAAATCGGCCAAATAAAGATGCAGGAGGATGCTAGCTCTGTGCTGCGCTAGAATTAGCAGGTTGATCCGGTGTTTACAAACCAGAGCGGTCCGATCGAGGCCCGCTGCCCGCAGGTTTGACCCCCAGGAAGCAGAAAGGACTTTGTTTCCTCAGCAGATCTGTTTCATCAAATGTAGAAACTGGCAGTTAGATCCACTCCTGCAGCTCTTTTCTACATCAGATCTGGTTTGGAGTGAAAATGTCTGATTTAGTCTCAGACATTAGAATCAATGACCTGCAGCTTGTTTTAGTTTGCATTTTTCAGCCTTTATAGGATTTATTATGATTCCATCCAACCTCAGAATGAGATAAAATGACCTTTAATGACAATCAAACATTTTCAGGTTAAACTTAAACCTCAGAAATCATTTAGAATCCTTTGCTTCTCTGCTGTATTTGCAGTTAAAAAGTGAAAAACTGATTTTGCAGATCATCCTGAACTCGATGCACAAATACCAGCCCCGGTTCCACATAGTGAGAGCCGACGACATCCGGAAGCTTCCCAGCAGCCCCGTCAGAAGCTTTGTGTTCACTGAGACGCAGTTCATGGCAGTGACGGCCTATCAGAACGCCACGGTGAGTCTGACGCTTCACACGTCTGCTGGAACCCGCTGGACCTCTAAAGACCGACTCCATCTTTCACACCAGCAGATCACACAGCTGAAGATCGACAACAACCCGTTTGCTAAAGGCTTCAGGGACGCGGGGAGCAGGAAGAGAGACAGGAGGTGAGGGACAATTACTTTGTCTTATTTCAAATGCATTTTATCTGATTATCTCATTCTAAGAGTAAAAATCCTCCTTCTATTATCAGATCATCTAGTTTACCTTCTCAAATTAAAGGTAAATCCAGTTAATTCAAGCAGGGACAGAAAAGACTTTGCTGCTTCAGTTGAACCTGACTGCTTCTCCTGCAGCAGAGTTTTAGAATCGGTCAGAAAGGATTCTGTGATGCAGAGAAGGACTTCATTCCATGGAAAGATGGAAATCATGAATCGAACCCGATCAGCAGAGTTTAGATCAATAAGCTGCTGCTCTGGATTTTCTATTTCTGTTGTTTTAAATCTTTTCAGAAGTCCGTCTGACTTCAGCTCTGCTCTCATTTGTCCATCAGGAAGCTTCAGCAGTCTGGAAACAACAGTCTGGAAGCTTCTTCTTCTTCTTCTTCTGGTGACTGCAGGTCTCCAGCTGCAAACATTTCCTCCACCAGCTGTGAGTCCAGCAGCTACAGAGGCCTGAAAGCAGAGCAGGAACGCCTTAATGATGAGGAGGCAAAGCTGAGCAGCAGTTGCCATGGAGACCCCCTGTTAGAGTCCCTCACAGCAGCACGGAAGCCGACCAAAAGGTGGCGTCCCGGCGGAAGCTCCGCCCCCTCAGGCAGAAGAAGCTGCTCCAAGGACTGGGAGAAAGGTCAGGATGTCAGACGATGCTGCAGCTTCCCACCCTGCTGCTGGCTCTTCTCTCCTCACCACTTCAACCAACATCTGAACAGCTCAGACTGGACACCAGCCCACAGCTGCTCCAGATGTGCCGCTGGCAGAGCCGTGCAGCTCAGACCCAGCCTGGCGGCGCCTGCTGGGACTCCTCTGTGGGTGTCCCTCAGCCAGCAGGCAGGGCTTCAGGTAACCCGGTTCCCTTTAACCCATCACTGCGTTTGGTTACCATGGCTACGAGTCATTCAGCCTGCAGCTGATTTTTATTTTTCAATCTGACCTGATTGTAACTGAGATGAAAGATGCTTCTCCTTCCTCTGACCCTGCAGGAAGCGATGAGCGTCTGGCCGTACGGAGGCTTCCTCCCGGTGGAGCCTTTCTCCAGAGCATCATCGCTGGTTCTGCAGCAGATCCCCATCACACAGCCCACAGTCAGCGCCTCTACCAACCTCTATGCCCACAATTTATTCTCTTCCGTTCTCTCATCATCTGTTCCTGCATCAGTGGAAAGCTGCTGCAGCTTTTAGACTCAGCCTGCAGCCTGAAGAAGTGACCAGCAGAGGGAGCACTCTGACCCCCGCCTTCCTCTGATGCATGAACAGGATGCAGAGCAATGCCTCACCTCTCTGCAGGTCCCGCTTCCTCTGTCCCATCATCAGACAATAAAATGATTAAGACATTAAATCTCTGAGTCGCTTCTAAACAAACGGTGATGCTGCGGGCTTCATCCTGGGAGGAAAGGTCAGATCTGTTCTGATGGGTTTACTGAACTATGGCCAGATCTCAGGTTTCTATTAAGAAACAAGTTTTAACGTTAAGAATTTGTCAAAAAGATCACTGAAAAAAAGCATAATGTAAGGCTTTATATGTGAGAAGGAGGATTTTAAATTCTATTCTGGATTTAACAGGAAGCCAATGAAGAGAAGCCAGGATAGGAGAGATATGATCTCTCTTTTTCATTTTCATCAGAACTCTGGCTGCAGCATTTTGGATCAGCTGAAGGCTTTTAACTACAGTTTGTGGACTTCCTGATAGTAAAGAATTACAATAGTCCAGCCTTGAAGTAACAAATGCATGGACTAGTTTCTCAGCATCACCCCTGGACAGGAGATTGCTCATTTTTGCAATGTTCCTCAGATGGAAGAAGGAAATTCTAGAAACCTCTTTGATCTGGGATTTAAATGACAGGTCCTGATCAAAAATAACACCAAGATTTTTTACTTTATTATCTGAAATCAGTTTAATCCCATCCAAATGAAGTGACTGACTAATCAGTTTCTTTTTCAGAGACTCTGGTCCAAAGACTATAACTTCTGTTTTGTCTGCATTCAGAAGCAGAAAGTTAAGAGTCATCCAGGTTTTTCTGTCTTCAGACATGCCTGTAATCTATGTAATGGGTTAGCCTCATCTGGATTATAGACAGATATAGCTGGGTATCATCAGCATAACAGTGGAAATTAATCCCATGCTGTCTAATAACTCTACCGATTGGGAGCATAGATATAAAGTAAAGAGAATTGGTCCTAGCACTGATCCCTGTGGTACTCCACAAACACTAGAAGAGGAAGAAGCTGCAGCAGCTACAAATTAATCCATTCAGATATTTTTTTCATTTTTTTCTGATTCCAATTTATATTCATACAAATACAATCATTGCGACAGTTGACCTGAACTTTATTAGAAATTCATCAGTTGTTCAGAACTCAGACAATAAGATTAATAGTTTCTGTCATTTCATTTTTATTCATTTCCAGCAAAGACATGCATTGAAACATACAAATGAATGCCAGATCATCAATTTAGACTTAGAAGTAGGAAAAACCAACATGTTCCCTGAAATATAAAGCAAAAAAGGAAATAAATTGACAGATAAATAAGCTTATAAAAGCAGTCAAAATGATATATTAGTGTGATTTAGCAAAAAGGAGAAATAAAATCAGTAATTAAGCAAAATGTTTGAGCAAGATGGCCGACACAATGGGAGAAAGAAAGAACTGGAAGATGGTTTTCTAGAAAGAGATGTTGGCAGAATGTGAAGAACAGGACGGAATAATCCTCTCGGTTACGCTTTGGTTTAAATATTATATCATTTAAACTACAGAGAGACGCTGCAGGAAAGCTAGAGTTTGCTTTTTAAGAAGAAACAGTTGAAAATGTTTCATTCATTTGCACTAAATATGTAGTTCAGAGAAATGAATTGGTTCTTAAAAGCCAACAAATTACAGATCAACATTAGAGACAAAAACCCAAATCAGAGGCTCATTTGTTAATGTTCAGGTACCTAAAAATGACTGATCAAAGGATATAGTTGTGTCTTTGTCACTATTTGAATCCGGTCCATCCTCCATTTCAGTCGATGACACTAATGCACCAACGGTTTCCTGGCAACCGCCTTTAAACACAAGAAGAAGAAGAGAAGCAGAATCACAGCAGAAATGGTGGCAGTTCTATAAGCTTCCAGTGGGTAGAGGAGGTCAGAGCAGACAGGGTGGAGGTCTGTACAGATTCCAACGCAGCTTTAGAAAATGTTCAGGGAGAAGGAAATAAAAGGAAAAAATTAGAAATTCAGCACAGTCTATTTAGGTTATATAGCGTGGCTTTGATATCTGGCTATGGTGGGTTCCAGCACATGAAGCTGTAAAAGGCAATGAAAAGGCAGATATATTAGAAAAAAGGGCTTTAGAGGGAACAATAACCTTTGGATAAAGTTAAATCACTTATTAAGAGGAAAGAAATGGAAAAAAAAAAGGTGGAATGAAGATAAAGGATTATATAAAGTACAAAAGTCAGAATTAAATGGAAATATTATTGAAAGATGATCAGATTACGAGTCGGTCATATCTATTTAAACCAAAATTTATGTTTAATAGGGAGGAAAAATACTGATAAATGTGAAAGAGAAAAATAAAATGTAGAAAACGTAGTGATGAACTGAAAAACTTCTGAACCTGAAAGGGAGAAATTGAGGAGAAAGGTTGGAAGGAAAGACCAAGATGGAGTCTGAAAGTTAATTAGGAAATAAAGGAAATATAAAGGATATTTACAGACTAAGGAAAACCTTATTCATTATTTAATACAAAATAGAAAAATAGAATTTGATAGATTTAAAGTAATGTTGCTACACACTGATGTACAGTAGGTGGTGGTATGCACCGATCCGCTACAATAGAAGAAGAAGAAGAGAAATAGCAATTGATTGATTGTAAAAAAGAAAGATTTTTTGTTTTCACGGTAGAAGTGATCAACTGTAGTTCTCAGACGATTAAAGAAAACTGAAAAAATCAAAATAATAGTGAAAGCTGCAGAAAAGTATGTTGAAGTGAGAGATTTAAAATTGGGAAAAGGTTGAAAGTATGATGAGAAAACCGAGTAGGACCATCAGAAACTGGCAGAGTGAAAATAACAAAGATAAATGAGAAATTAAGAGGACTAATTAGAGTAATTATCTATTATGTTGGGTTAAATTAAACAGTTTGGAAAAAATATTATTATTATTATTTTTTTTTCTGGGGGTGATTCCTGTTCCCTGTTTAACTCCTTATCAGTTGGTGAATTTGCAAATAGAAATACATCCGGGTGTCCATAAGTAATGTAATCATGGTACTAAAACTACTTATTTCTATCCTTAACTCACTAAAGAATCCTGATACACATCTGTAAAAAATGTTTTATGACTTTTGTGAGACTAATTAATGTTTATGCTTTTTACATTTTCTTCTTTAAACTGCTTCTCTGACGTCATCATGGGTCATGAACAGAGCAGTCTGGCTAAATATGATTAACCATGTTTATCTGCATTTTAGTTGTTTCTTTCTTTAAATTACGCACTATATAGCATAAAGTTAAAAC